GAAATCCGTGACAGAGACCAAGAAGGGCCAGCCAGAGAAAAACTAGTAAATGCTGCTTGGGGTGGGAGGGTGGATTGTACTGGGTCAAGGAGTCAACAGAAAGATGTTGAAACAACAAATATAAACTACTTTCATTTTAATTTTTTTAAAAAAATTATTTCATGGCCGGGCGCGGTGGCTCAAGCCTGTAATCCCAGCACTTTGGGAGGCCGAGGCGGGTGGATCACGAGGTCGAGAGATCAAGACCATCCTGGTCAACATGGTGAAACCCCGTCTCTACTAAAAATACAAAAAACTAGCTGGGCGTGGTGGTGCGTGCCTGTAATCCCAGCTACTCAGGAGGCTGAGGCAGGAGAATTGCCTGAACCCAGGAGGCGGAGGTTGCGGTGAGCCGAGATCGCGCCATTGCACTCCAGCCTGGGTAACAAGAGCGAAACTCCGTCTCAAAAAAAAAAAAAAAAAAATTATTTCATAAAGATGGGGTTTCACCAGGTTGGTCAGGCTGGTCTTAAACTCCCAACCTCAGGTGATCCGCCCGCCTTGGCCTCCAAAGTGCTTGGATTACAGGTGTGAGTCACCACACCTGGCCTACTTTCATTTTAAGAAACTGCAACTGTATAGGAAATAATAGGAGTCTGGTTAGTCCGATCATTATCAGTACTGTGTTCACAGAGAACATAAAATTTCTAGACAGTTTTTCCAATGTAGGAATTTCAATTTTGTAGCATTTTTTAAGTACAGTAGGAGAGGATGGAGGCTTTTTTGGCGGTGGTTGGGAAGAAAGAAGTGATTGACTAGGGGGAATGGCTATCATACGTGCAGTCCCTGGGGAGTACAAGTACCTAGTAGAGTATTTTGCACACAGTTTCTGGATCTATAAAGATCCAGTAAAGCGTTTTTTTCAGGGGACCCAGAGTTAACAATTGATTATGTACTTGTAATTAAATTTAGTTCGTTTCTCAGAATTTCTATTTGTGATTTTCTTTCTTTCTCTTTTTTTTTTTTTGAGATGGAGTCTCACTCTGTTGCCCGGGCTAGAGTGCAGTGGCATGATCTTGGTTCACTGTAGCCTCTACCTTCCCGGTTTCCCAGTACAAGCGATTCTCTGGCCTCAGATACCCAAGACCTGGGACTACAGGCATGTGCCACCACATCCAGCTAATTTTTATGAAATTTTATGTTTTTTAGTAGAGATGAGGTTTCACCATGTTGGCCAAGGCTGGTCTTGAACTTCTGACCTCAAGTGACCCACTTGCCTTGGCCTCCCAAGGTGTTGGGATTATAGGTGTGAGCCACTGCACCTGGCTCTGTTCTCTTATTGATTCTGTCTCTCTTGAGTGAACATTCTCTTTCTCTGCTAAATTACCGTCTCTCAATTTTTTTCTTTGTAGTTAAACTCCTCATTGTTTTTTTAATTGTGGAAAAATATACAATGTATTTACTATCTTAACCACTTTTTTTTTTTTTTTTGGGACGGAGTTTCACTCTTGTTACCCAGGCTGGAGTGCAATGGCGCGATCTCGGCTCACCGCAACCTCTGCCTCCTGGTTTCAGGCAATTCTCCTGCCTCAGCCTCCTGAGTAGCTGGGATTACAGGCACGCGCCAACATGCCCAGCTAATTTTTTTGTATTTTTAGTAGAGACGGGGTTTCACCATGTTGACCAGGATGGTCTCAATCTCTCGACCTCGTGATCCACCCGCCTCAGCCTCCCAAAGTGCTAGGATTATAGGTGTGAGCCACGAGCCCGGCTATCTTAACCACTTTTAAGAGTACAGAACAGAGGCCGGGCGCGGTGGCTCAAGCCTGTAATCCCAGCACTTTGGGAGGCCGAGGCGGGTGGATCACGAGGTCGAGAGATTGAGACCATCCTGGTCAACATGGTGAAACCCCGTCTCTACTAAAAATACAAAAATATTAGCTGGGCATGTTGGCGCGTGCCTGTAATCCCAGCTACTCAGGAGGCTGAGGCAGGAGAATTGCCTGAACCCAGGAGGCGGAGGTTGCGGTGAGCCGAGATCGTGCCATTGCACTCCAGCCTGAGTAACAAGAGAACAGAACAGTAGTGTTAACTACTCTCATTGTTGTGCAGTTTATTTCATCTTGCCAAACTGAAACTCTGTACTCAGCGAACCCCTTTTGTCTGTCTTCCTAGCCCTTGACAACCATGATTCTACTTCTGTGTCTAGAGTCTGACTACTGTAGATACCCCATTTAAGTAGAAACATGCAGCTTTTTGTCATTGTTATTGCTATTTTTGGGGTGACTGGCTTAAGCCACTTAGCATAACGTCCTTAAGGTTCATCCATGTTGCAGCATATGACTTGATTTCCTTTTTTTTTTTTTTAAAGACAGGGTCTTGCTCTGTCACACCCAAGCTGGAGTGCAGTGGTGTCGTCATGACTCACTGCAGCCTTGACCTCCCTTGGCTCAAGCCATCCTCCCACCTCAGCCTTCCGAGTAGCTGGAACCACAGATAGGCACCACTACACCTGGATAATTTTTGTATTTTTTGTAGAAATGAGGTTTTGCCATGTTGCCCAGGCTTGTCTTGAACTCCTGGGCTCAAGTGATCAGCCAGCCTTGGCCTTCCAAATGCTGGGATTACAGGCATGAGCCACTGTGCACTTTTTAAAGGTTGAATAATATTCCATTGTATGTATGTACCACTTTTTTTTTTTTATCCATTTACCTGTTCATGGGCATTTAAGTTGCTTTCATCACTTGAACTATTGTGAATAATGCTGTAATGAACATGCATGTGCAAATATCTATTTGTGATCCTGTTTTTAATTATTTTGGATATGTACCCTGAAGTGGAATTGCTGGATCATATGGTAATTATATTTTTAATTTTTTGAGGAAGTGCCATACCCTTTGCATAGTGATTGTGCCATTTTATCTTCCTACCAGTAGTACATAAAGAGTTCCAGTTTCTCTAAATCTTTGCTATCACTTTTTAAAAAGAATTTTAAAAATTATTTATTTATTTTTTGAGATGGAGTTTTGCTCTTGATGCCCAGTTTGGAGTGCAATGGCACGATCCCGGCTTACCGCAATCTCTGCCTCCTGGGTTCCAGCAGTTCCCCTGCCTCAGCCTCCTGAGTAGCTGTCATTACAGGCATGTGCCACCACACCTGGCTAATTTTTTGTATTTTTAGTAGAGATGGGGTTTCTTTATGTTGGTCAGGCTGGTCTTGAATTTCTGAACTCAGGTGATTTGCCTGCCTTGGCCTCCCAAAGTGCTGGGCATGAGCCACTGCACCTGGCTGGTGTTTTTTTTTTTTTTTTTTTTTTTTTTTTAAATGCCAGATTTCAATCAAGAGCTACCCATTACATTTGGTTGTAATCTTGAGTCTTTTAAAATATATAGGTACAACTGTAATCTTTTGAGTGTTTTTTAACATATAGGTAGAACTATCTCTTCTACCCATACACCTCCTTCTTTTCTCTGCTTCTCCGTCCCTGTGGTATTGACCCATTAGGTCTGTTGAGATGATTACATTTTATATTGCTGCCTGTTTCATCATGGCATAGTGTGACTTTCTTTCTCTATCCCCTGTATTTATTTCCTTTAAATTGGGAGTTAGATCTAAAGGTGTGAGTAGACTTAGGTTAAACAGTTATGGAAGAGTACTTCATTTAGTAATTCTGTGTACTTCCTTCTGTTTCTAGTTAAGAGGCATATAATGTCTAGTCCCACTATTTTGTTGCTGTATTTGATCACCAAGTTAATGTAGTGAGAACCTTACCATTTCATTATAAAGTTATGATTTTCTTTTGGCTTCCAGCAAGTAGTAATCTGTAGGGTGGTACTTTAACCTCAGGTAAATTTTTTTTTTTGAGATGGAGTTTCGCTCTTGTCACCAGGCTGGAGTGCAATGGTGCCATCTTGGCCCACTGCAGCCTTCGCCTCCTGGGTTCAGGCAATTCTCCTGCCTCAGCCTCTTGAGTAGCTGGGACTACAGTCACACCCCACCACACCCAGGTAATTTTTGTAGTTTTAGTAGTGACGGGGTTTTACCATGTTGGGCAGGGTGGTCTTGATCTTCCTGATCCTCTTGCCTTTGCTTCCCAAAGTGCTAGGATTACCGGCATCAGCCACTGCGCCTGGCTCGCCTGGCTAATTTTTGTAATTTTAGTAGAGATGGAGTTTCACCATGTTGCCCGAGCTGGTCTCCAATTCCTGAGCTTAAGCAATCCTTCCTCACCCCTGCAGGCCTCTCAAAGTAATAGGACTACACTTGTGAGGCACCTCGCCCAGCCCCAAATAAATTTCTTTCTTTTTTTTTTTGTGGGACTTTTTTTGTAATGGAGTCTCACTCTGTCACCCAGGCTAGAATGCAGTGGAGCCATCTTGGCTCACTGCAACCTCCACCTCCCAAGTTCAAGTGATTCTCCTGCCTTAGGCTCCCTCCCAAGTAGCTGGGATTACAGGTGCGTACTGCCATGCCCAGCTAATTTTTATTTTTATTAGAGATGGGAGTCTTACCATGTTGGCCAGGCTGGTCTCGAACTCTTGACTTTAAGTGATCCACTCACCTCGGCCTCCAAAGCGCTGGAGTTACAGATGTGAGCCACCACCCTTGGCCGGGTCAATTTGTTTATCAACTTTTCACCTAATGATTTTAGCATTAATTGATGATTCTTGATTAACTGTTTAATTACAGGTGAAAAAATGGTTTTGGGTTCTGTTGTTCCTTTTACATTTAATAGCTAGCCACGGTCTATAAAGATAAGATTTCTTTCATCAACTGAGGCTATTTTGTTACCTAGGATTAGTGTTCTACTTAAAGGCAGAAGAAATGCTTAGTTATTTTCTTTTATATAGACATTTTCAGAGTGCTGTAGTCACCTCCAATGGCAGTAAGTACAGTCTTTCCTGTCTTCTCTATTTGGAATATCATATATATTATAAATATATACATTTTTGACTTTGATTTCTTCGGTGATTATAGTTTGATGTGAATATGACTTTAATGTATCACTTTTCTTTTACAGTAAGAAGACATGTTGGATATCAAGAAGAAGTGTAGCATTTGCATATATCAACCGTGGCCTTAATGAGCATGTTGCCAGCATTGATGCTAGACAGACAGTAAGTGTTACTAAAGTTGTAGAGTACGAATATTTTACATGTAGTTTTTTGTTTCTTTTGAAATCGGGTCTCACTCTATCATCTAGGCTAGAGTGCAGTGGTGCAATGTTGGCTCACTTTAGCCTTAAACTCCTGGGCTCAAGTGATTCTCTCACCTCAGCCTCCCGACTAGCTGGGACTAAGGTGCACACCACCACATCTGACTAATTTTTGTAATTTTTGGTAGATTTTTTTTTTTTGGTGACAGAGTTTTGCTCTGTTGCCCAGGCTGGAGTGCAGTGGCATGATCTTGGCTCAGTGCAACCTCCGTCTCCTGGGTTCATAGAATTCTTCTGCCTCAGCCTCCCAAATTCCAGCTGGAATTACAAATGTGTGCCACCATGCCTAGCTAATTTTTGTATTTTTTTTTTTTTTTTTTTTTTTTGAGACGGAGTTTCGCTCCCGTTACCCAGGCTGGAGTGCAATGGTGCGATCTCGGCTCTCCGCAACCTCTGCCTCCTGGGTTCAGGCAGTTCTCCTGCCTCAGCCTCCTGAGTAGCTGGGATTACAGGCACGTGCCACCACGCCCAGCTAATTTTTTGTATTTTTAGTAGAGACGGGGTTTCAGCATGTTGACCAGGATGGTCTCGATCTCTTGACCTCGTGATCTACCCGCCTTGGCCTCCCAAAGTGCTGGGATTACAGGCTTGAGCCACCACGCCTGGCCTAATTTTTGTATTTTTAGTAGAGATGGAGGTCTCACCATGTTGGCCAGGCTGGTTTCAAACTCCTGACCTCAAGTGATCTACCCACCTTGGCCTCCCAAAGAGTTGGAATTACAGGCGTGAGCCATTGCACCAGGCCTAGAGATGGCGTTTCGTCATGTTGCCCAAGCTGGTCTCAAACTCCTTGGCTCAAGTGATCTACCTGCCTCAGCCTCCCAAAGTGCTGGGACAACAGGTGTGAACTACTACACCTGGTCTACACGTAGGTTTCTAAGCTTTTACTTATATATTTGAGTGACTTAAAAAAAAAACATGAGAAGGAAAATATCGCAGATTTTGTTACTAGAATTTTCAAAACAGCTTATGGTGGCATAAAACATGTTGACTGAGAAAGCATAAAGAACTGAATTGTGGTGTCAGTTTTCCTATTTAACATGTTGGCTAGGCTGGTCTTGAACTCTTGACGTCATTACCTGCCTGCCTCGGCCTCCAAGAGGGCTGGGATTACAGGTTTGAGCCACCGTGCAAAGCCCTCTGCTTCCTAAAGGCCAATCTTGGCTGGGCACAGTGGCTCACGCCTGTAATCCCAGCACTTCGGGAGGCCGAGGTGGGCAGATCACTTGAGGCAAGGAGTTCGAGACCAGCCTAGCTAACATGGCAAAAACCCATCTCTACTATAATTACAAAAATTAGCCGGACTTGGTGGAGTGTACCTGTAATCCTACCTACTCAGGAGGCTGAGACATGAGGATTACTTGAGTCTGAGAGGCAGAGACTGCAGTGAGCTGAGATCTCATCACTGCACTCCAGCACGGGTGAGAAATTAAAATAAATAAATAAATAAGGCCAGACACAGGGGCTCACACGTGTAATCCCAGCACTTTGGGAGGCTTAGGTGGGCGGATCACTAAGGAGTTCGAGACCAGTCTGACCAACATGGTAAAACCCATTTCTACTAAAAAAATAAAAAAATTAGCTGGGCATGGTGGCGTACGTCTGTAATCCCAGCTACTCAGGAGGCTGAGGCAGGAGAATTGCTTGAACCCAGGAGGTGTAGGTTGCAATAATCCGAGATGACGCCACTGTACTCCAGCCTAGGAGACAGAGTGAGACTTCGTCTAAAAAAAAAAAGTAAATTAAAAAAGACCACTCTTGCTGCTTCATATTTTACATATTTGTTAGCTATCCATAAATATTTGTGCACCTGTTTTATGTGTGGTACAATGCTTAGTACCATTTTGGAGTATATGTCATGATCCATGTTCTCAAGGAACATGGTTAGTTGTAGATACAAACACATACAGATAGAAATATAATAAGTCAGTAACACCAACTGACTCTAAGGAAGACTAGTACTGCAATAAATAGTTAAGGATTATAGAAAGTGTTGATGGAATATACAGAAATACACTTGGGACTAAAGCTATATAGTGTTCAGCAACGGGCTTTAACCTTTAACAACATGTTTCAAAGGTCTATCTAGTTTTTACATCTTGGGTTTTTTTTTTTTTTTTTTTTTTTGCATGGAGTCTCCCTCTGTTACCCAGGCTGGAGTGCAGTGGCGAGATCTTGGCCTCCCAAAGTGCTGGGATTACAGACATGAGCCACTGTGCCTGGCCAGAATATTTTTTTTTTTTTTTTTTGAGACAGTGTCTTGCTCTTTCACCAGGCTGGAGTGCAGTAGCGCAGTAGTGCAATGTCAGCTCACTGCAACCTCCATCTCCCAGGTTCAAGCGACTCTCCTGCCTCAGCCATCTGAGTAGCTGGAAGTACAGGCACTGGCCACCATGCCTGGCTAATTTTTGTATTTTTAGTAGAGATGGGGTTTCACTGTGTTGACCAGGCTGGTCTCGAACTTCTGACCTGAAATGATCCTTCCACCTCAGCCTCCCAAAGTGCCAGGATTACAGGCGTGAGCCACCATGTTTGGTCAGAATACCTTTTTTGATTGTTACAGAGATCTTTTATTTTCTGGATATTGTTCCACCGAGGTAAGTTACTCAAACTTACTTGTCATGTATTACATATAGCAGATTTATTTATAAAATGATATGGAGTATAGCACATTTCCTAAAATTGGAATGATACAGAGAAGATGAACATGACCCCTGTGCAAGGATGACACACAAATTTGTGAAGTGTTCCATATTTTTAGCTTCAGTATAAAAACTGTACAGATATTTGTATAGCTAATAAGGTTCTTTTTAGAGAAAATGTTTTAAAAAATGCAGGTTGTACCTTTTTGAATTAGATTTTAAAGCTTCTGATGTTGAAAATTTTTATATATATAATTTTTTTTTTTTTTTGGAGACGGTCTTGTGTTGCCTAGGCTGCAATGCAGTGGCAGAATTTCAGCCTCCTGGGTTCAAGAGATGCTCATGCCTCAGCCTCCCATGTAGCTGGAACTACAGTCATGTGCCACCGTGGCCAGCTATTTTTTGTATCTTTAGTAGAGATGGGGTTTCACCATTTTGGCCAGGCAGGTCTTGAACTCCTGTCCTCAGGTGATGCACCTGCCGCGGCCTCCCAAAGTGCTGGGATTATAGGCATGAGCCACCATGTCCAGTGCAATATTTCTAAATATTTAATTTTTTTTTTTTTTTGAGATGGAGTTTTGCTCGTTACCCAGGCTGGAGTGCAATGGCGCGATCTCAGCTCACCGCAACCTCCACCTCCTGGGTTCAGGCAATTCTGCCTCAGCCTCTTGAGTAGCTGGGATTACAGGCACGCGCCACCATGCCCAGCTAATTTTTTGTATTTTTTTAGTAGAGATGGGCTTTCACCATGTTGACCAGGATGGTCTCGATCTCTTGACCTCGTGATCCACCTGCCTCGGCCTCCCAAAGTGCTGGGATTACAGGCGTGAGCCACTGCGCCCGGCCAATATTTAATTTTTTTTTAAAGTTTCTTGACTTGTGTATGGTAGCATAGCAAACTTGGAATTAATTATCTTTTTTTTTTTTTTAATAACTTTTTGCTATGAGTCAGGGTTTTGCTCTGTTGCCCAGGCTGGAGTACAGTGGCACACTCATGGCTCACTGAGGCCTCGACTTACTGGCTTAAGTGATTCTCTCACCTTGTCCTCCTAAGTAGCTAGGACTACAGGTGTATACCATTATGCCCAACTAATTTTTTTTTTTTTTTTGTGGTGACGGGTTTTCTCATGCTGTTCTGGCTGGTCTTGGGCTCCTGGGCTCAAGTAGTTCGCCCACCTTGACCTCCCAAAGTGCTGTGATTACAGGGATAAGCCACCTGTGCTTGGCCTCAGGATTAGTATCAATAGTAAAGTTTGGGATTTTTAGTATATTGCATTTTGTTCTTTTAAAAAATCTGTAAAAAAATTGTGTATCTTGAAAAATGATGGTGCTTTTATTTTTATTGTTATTTTTATTAGTTTGAGATGGAGTCTCATTCTGTCACACAGGCTGGAGTGCAGTGGTGCGATCTCGGCTCACTGCAATCTCTGTGTCCCGTGTTCAAGTGATTCTCCAACCTCAGCCTCCTGAGTACTTGGGATTACAAGTGTGTGCCACCATGCTTGGCTAATTGTTTTTAGGAGAGAGGGAGTTTTACCATGTTGGCCAGGCTGGTTTTTTTTTTTTTTTTTTTTTTTTGAGATGGAATCTCCCTCTGTAGCCCAGGCTGGAGTGCAGTGGCACGATCTCAGCTCACTGCAACCTCTACCTCCTGGGTCCCAGTTCAAGCAATTCTCCTACCTCAGCCTTCCAAGTAGCTGGGATTACAGGCATGAGCCACCATGCCCAGTTAATTTTTGTATTTTTTAGTAGAGATGGGGTTTCACCATGTTGGCCAGTCTGGTCTTGAACTCCTGACCTTGTGATCTGCCTGTCTTGGCCTCCCAAAGTGCTGGGATTACAGGCATGAGCCACTGTGCCTGGCCTCAGCTGGTCTTGAACTCCTGACCTCAAGTGATCCTCCTGCCTCAGCCTACCAAAGTGCTGAGATTTTAGGTATAAGCCACTCTGCTTGGCCTGATACGGTGTTTTTTTCCCCTTCTTATTTATTTATTTATTTATTTATTTATTTATTGTCCTGCAATTCACATTAATGGTGTTTTTTTAGTATTGATGATGTGGTTTTCAGTGGGAAGGTTTTTTATTTTTTGTTTACTTATTTATTAGAGATAGGCTCTCGCTGTGTTGCCCAGGATGGTCTTGACTTCCTGAGCTCAAATGATTCTCTTGCCTAGGCCTCCCAAAATCGTGGGATTAGAGGTGTGAGCCACTGTGTCTGCCTTGGAAGGTTTTTTTTTTTTCTGAAGTGTTTATTTGTATA